GTCACCGACGGTTATGTATACAGGACCACAGGGATCGGCCGTGTTATCAAATACTCTTGTCTGCAGTGAAATGATCAAAACCCAGTCAATTATATTCTGTGGTCCGACCACAAACTCAAGCATTGATACTCTGTGGTCCGATAATATATGTGTTATCAAGAAGTAATTAATATATGGAAATTATATAGTAGTATGATTCATGAATGGAAATGAAATGAGGAAGTGATTTGGATCTTACAAAGCGTTCGTAAGCGTGCACGTGTCCGGCAAATACCGCATCCACTCGGGCCTTGTACAGCAGCTCTTCCATGGCCTTTCTCATGCTTTCTCCTTCCCCTTGATGAGCTTCATTAGAGTTGTACCAGGGCGCATGAAGGAGAGCGAAGATCCAAGGCGTGGTCGTCCTATTGACCTTGGCCAGGTCAGCTTCGAGCCACTTGTATTGGTCGGAGTCAGCATCGAAGTCGGTGTAGGATCCCAACATGAGAATGTGTGCCCCGGCGACGTTGAAGGAATAATACAGATTCGACTCGGAGCCGCTTTGTTCGTATGGCATTCGCCATCTTGCATTGTAAGCTCTGAAACCGTGGGGGTATACGATGGGGAAGGTTTCAATTTCGTGGTTTCCTTCTGTTACCATCCATGGCCTCCGACTGGCGTATGGCTCCACCAGCCGTCCGAAGGAGTCCCAGAGTTGCTGGTGGGTGTCGGCGTAGGACAAGTCACCGGGGAGTAAAAATACATCATAATCCCTTGCCCCCACGTGGGATAAGGTGGAGGCTGTCCATTCTGTCTGACCCAGGTCCCCTGTTAAACCACAACCAAAAAATAAAAATAAAAAAAAATTCCGATTTACTCCATAATTTTATTCGAGGCATCCAATCCCTTGATAGCCCCACGCCTGTCCATAGCCTTTTTTCTTTTTTCCACACATTACTTATTGTTACTTTTGGAGCATTAATTTTTTTTTTTGTTTTTGCACATAAAACAAAACATAAATTGCGTATTGTCTGCCTATCCATGTAAGGATGTTTCTTCAGCAGAAAAAGCAGCAGAAAGCATAAAAACGGCAAAAATGCATCAAGCAAAGCGTGAAGACACGGCAAAAGTCCGGCATAGCGCATCATCTCTGGGTTACTTACTTAAGGAAGTAAACTAACCAACCTAACAGCATCTGAAAGAAGTGCACGCAATATATAATGCAAGGGAAAGCGTAAAATTGATTTTTCCAGGATGATAGGCTAAAGAAACCACTGACCCACGATAACAAATTCAATCGGCAAATCCGAGGGAGGTGTCCTGAAGCTAGATTCCGGGCCGGAACCGCCGCACCTGTAGTAATAAGTTGTGCTTGGCTCCAAGGGTCCAATTACGACGTGGTGAATCTCACCTGAGCTATAGAAGAAGTAGTGGTACGAGGTATGGTCACCAGTTGCGGATGCTTCATATGTTCCCGGTGATTTCCCGTATTCCACCGTTGACTTCGTATGCTTGTGAGAAGTAATCCACGATACCCTCACATGATCTACTCCGACCAATGATATATGCACCTAACGTACACATTTCGTACGAAAGAGGAAAGTTTGCACAGCACATTGTCAACTTCAGGGAAGAAAAAGAAACAGACAAGGAAGCTCTTGAGAGCACATGAATCCAATAAGTTGAAGTCACCTGTTGAGGATCAGATTCTGATCGGGTGTGTGAAGTGAAGATGATCGGCCGGGGAGGGGGACGAGAATATTCCGGTGATGCATGGAGGTGGCGAGGAAAGGATAAAAGAGTTATCAGCGAGAAGAAATGGAGACGTCGTATTGATACTTCCATCATCTAAAATCAGATCAAATGAACGCTAGGAAAAAGAAGGTTTTGTACGGTATGTTATGTGGTATGGATCTGCCATTGGTGGTCCACTATATATATAAAAAAATGCATACGAGGAACTACGGATATAGAATTTCGGGAACACAATTTTTTACTAATATTAGATGGATAACACTACTGCGTGAAGTGCATTATGCACTGCTGAGATTCTATCTTTTCTATGCTTGCATCTCATTGGCCTAATTAAAAAGATGTCCGCTTTTTCCTTTTTTTTTTTTAAAAAAAAAATCAATTTCTCTGACTTTCCCTTATTCTATTGCCCAATGGCCAGTCCTGAACGTGTAAACACCATTTTTCTTTCTTTCTTTCTTTAATCTAATGGAGGGGGAAAAGTTCGAAGATTGGCTATGTCGAACTAGCTAGCTGTGAAGCAAGTGTACATGCGTAGACCAACTCATCTGATAATTGGCCATTTTTGTAGTCTACAATAGCTTTAGGGATAATATCGGAAACTTCCTCTTAGATTTATCTTAATATCATCTAGCGTCCCCTCTCCCCAAGTAACAATATTTTTAAAAACCCTAAAGTACCCCTTTTGCTCATTTTGCTAAATAAAAATGCTCATAAATCACTTTCTTTGATTCAAAATAAAATCGTCACCTAAAAAACAATCTCTAATAGTACCACCATAACATAAAACTATAGTCGATAAAAATATAAATTTGAAAAATAGAAAAGAGATTTGTAAAGAAATACACTAGTACCAATTCAACTTTATATGGTCAAAACTAATTTCTCATGAACCTTATTTTTTTTTTCAATCTTTTCTCAATCCAAGGTCCAAGCCTTTAAATTATACTAAATCACTATAAAAATCAACTCAAAATAAACAAAGAAAATCCCACTGTATTACAGTCGTAAAAAGAAAAAGAAAAAGAAAATTCAATTTGCTATGATTTACACAAAAAAAAACCACATAGTCATCCCCAAAAAAAAAAAAGAGTAAGAGAGAATGTTGGAGAAAGGGGAAAGAGAAAAAAGTGACTTTTATTTTTTTTTTCATTAATTTTTTTAACTTCATTTATTTGATATGTGAATTATATATCAAATGAGAGTTAATATAATCATTTTACAATTATCAGGAGAGGTAAGTGATATTTTTAAAATCTCAAGAATGCTAAATATCGAAATTTCTAATATTATACGATAGTTTTAATCAGTCTAATATAGTCTTATCGAGAGTTGATAATGCTTTAAGAGGAGATTTACAAAAAAAAAAAAAAAAAAAGCTGAACATCCTTAGTTAAGTAGTAGTTGATTTTACTTGATGCCAATCAAAGTAGAAGTGTAAGAAAACTATGGTATGCAGATTATAAATTGAAACGGGCACACATTCCTACCATTCAGATAATCAAAACCCTGAATTATTCTGTGGCGCCCCTTCCCTCAAGCACGCACGCCACTGGTTTTTGGATAAAAGGTTGTACTATTGAGTTTTAGTTCAAAGGCGTGTGGCAATTTTTTATCTTAGGGATTGTTGAGTTTTTCAAAAATTATTAAAATTTTTCACCGGAGTTACTATCTTTCATTGACAGTGACCGATTTTGGTAAGGCATCAAAACAAGAAAAGGAAAAGGGTGCTTTTATTCTTTTTTGTTTGGCATGAAGTTGTCAACGTGGATGAAGTGGCTTTGAGTACGGGAAAAATTCCTATACAACACTATTTTCTCTTTATAGTCAGTCAATCTTCATGTAGTTCAAGCAAAGAGCTTAGGATATTCAACCGCATATACCCCTTAGACAGCACATGCCCCACGTCCTAGAAACTCACACCATTCTTAATTAAATCGCCATCCGTTTCCCAAACCAAAAAAAATCACCCATTTACGAGTTTCGACCCGCCTTATGCGGGATATTCTTTAAAAGAGTGCGAATCAATATAGGAATTAGCCACGGCTGAATTGCTATTTTTTTTTTGAAATATCTGTAGAAAAATATATTATAACGATTTGATACATGTAAAATAAAAGGTGATTGAAAAATGTAATAATGAAAAACGTAAAAATGTTTCTTTAAAAAAAATTCAATCCAAACAATTGATTTTCATGTTATCTTTGATGTTTCCCCACTAATTTTGCATTACATAGTTTTTTTTTTCCTTTTGGTGTATTATTATTGTGACGCATTTTGCTGCACTGTTTTGGTAATGCAAATAACACTCTACTCTTTCGTACTCGTAAGTTGATCCTTTTAGGCAAACGTGCCCGAAAAAGTTTATGTAGTACGGTAATAACACGACAATTTTCATCTGCTGATTATCAGTTTTCCGTTTAAGAGTATCGTTGATTTTTTATACCACTAGTGTTTTGACCCGTACCATGCACGGGATTATATTTCAAATCAAAATAATATTATATATATTTATATATTATGGTACAGAATAATAAATATATATACTAAAAATTTTAAAGAAGTGATGCTTAATATTTTGAAAAAAAATTAATCTGTAATGATTTACATGATAAAAGAATTGTTAATGCATTGAAGGAAAGGGTTAAGTTGGATGGTAAGGTGAGAAGAGTTTTCTTAAAAAAAGTCAATTTATCAATACCCGACAAAACGTATTATGTTATACCATCTTTTTTATTGTCAAAAAATCAAAGCTCTAAGCATTATTTGATTCACTCAGGAGCCGTTTGGTTAAAATTCGTCTATCACAATCACTATGAATGTGATTAACTAGTCAATGGTAATGGGTTTTTCACAAAGCCCATAGAGTATTTGGTAATTTTATACTTCAGATATGGATTCTAAGATTGTTGTTGTTTTTGTTTTTCTAAATTTTTCTTATTCTATTTCCTCTCTTTTGTTATCCTCCTAGATTTAAGTTGGCTTTAGTAGAGTATTATTACAATGAACTTTATGGAGAAGGTGGTGAAAGATATGTGGATAGAGTTCGTAATGCTATTGCTGACTTGTTTGGTGAATATGGAGGTGACCTTGCTCCTTTTTTGAGTTATGTTGGAGATAATATAGGAGAAGGGACTTCTAGTTGTGGTAACAAAAATATAGACGTAGAAGATGATGATGATGAGTTGTCTGATTTTGACAAATGGTATCAGCAATCATGTTCTTCTACTATTCTTGCTAGCCAAAAATCTGAATTGCAGTCATACTTGGACGAGCCTGTATTTCCAAGAAAAGATGATTTTGACATACTAGGCTGGTGGAAGGCAAACAGTCCAAAATTCTTAGCAAGATGGCTCGTGATATTCTTGCAATTCCAGCTACTACTGTGGCATCGGAATCAGCATTTAGCGTTGGCGGAAGGGTAATTGATGAGACCCGTGCTGCTTTGCTTCCTGATGTGGTCGAAGCTTTGATAACAACTGGAGATTGGTTACCTTTGAAAAAGAAAAGAAGTAAGTCCTTCATGTTTATGTTTCTTTTGTTGTTTTTTCTTTTTAAATCCATATTACAAGTTTGTTTGGTTGAGTTACTCTAGAAAGACTAATCTACTTTCTTTCTTTTTGTTTTCTTAGAAGTATTTGGAGAAGATTTGGGTGATTCTTCTAAAGTTCCCAAGTTAGGGTGATGTATTTGAGTAAGGCCAATTTGATTTCTTTCTTACCTATTTTTTTTTTTGTATTAGTTAGTAATTTGTTTACAAATATGTTGTATCCTTGTTTTTGTTGCAGAAAATTGTGAAACATGAGAGCCATGAAGACTATTGTAATCTACAGGACTTCATTAGTTGGTTGATGTATTTGGAATTTATGTTTGATTGGACTTTTTAGAAATTGTAATTTGTTGGATGTCATATTGGCTTTGTTGCTAATATTGGCTTTATTGAAATTGTAATTTGTTGGATGTTGGACTTTTTAAATCCTTGTGTTTGTTGGATTAGATTATATGAAATAGTTTGCTACATGCTGTTTTCTTCTTGTTCTACGGTAGAACAAGGTTTGCATTCTCAATAGTTTGCAAAAGTTTGCATTCTGTTGAAAAACTACGGTAAAACTACCGTAGAACAGGTTTGCATTCTCAATAGTTTGCATTTTCCAGAAGTTACTTGAACAGATTTTTAACGGGTCTGATTGGCGGGTAGACCCGGCCCGGATTCGGGACCCGTCGGGTACGGGTCCGGTGACAGATTAGAAGACCCGTCGGGTATTCGGGCCGAATCCGGAACTAATCTAGTATAACGGGTCCGGGTCCGGATATATGCATTCCGGCCCGGTCCCGGCCCGTTGACAGGCCTACCCATTTACCACCACATTTTCAACCATCAATGGCGGCAGCCATACGTCGATGGAATTTTCATTACATCATCCTTCTAAGCTTCCACGAGCATTTTTGAAATCGTTTATAGAGGAGAATCAATTTTTTTTAACCAATTAAAGTTGAAGAAAATACTGAACAGCAAGGCGGAATCATTTTGAAAGTGGCCTATTTGGTGGTTAATGACAAAAGTGATAGAAGGGGCTAATGAAACGATAGATTAATAATCATAGATGCCTTCCAAACAATAAGAAGAATCTGTATCATTGAACTTGACATCCAATCCTGTGTCGGACACCCCTTTACCAAACAACAACAATTCATTCATTGGAACAAAGACTAGATCAAATTTGTTTCCGACCATCCCGGCAGCAGCGGCTGCTGTTGTCGATGACGACGAAATTAAATATTACCAAACCAAAAATAGACGAAAACTTCATTTAATCACGTAACGATTTATAATTCCAAATTGTTTGAATTCCAGTATGAGCCAAACACTCGTTCAGAAAATTGGGACAGGTCTGAACCACGAAAGGGCAAGAAGGGTGACGAGATCAGGCTCCCGTGCAAGGAAAGAATTGTTAATTGTTCAATGTGAAAGCTATGACATTGGGCTGAAGGCGTAACGTAACCAAACTTTTAAAAACCCACCCGTTTGAGCCATGTTCCCATTCTTGAGGTCAGAGTGTGTGGGTAATGAGCGGAAAGCATCGTTTGTGTATCGCGCAGGCCAGTAGTGACACTGAAGTAAATGGGGCCCAAGGAAGAAATCAAAGGAAAAAGAATTAAAAGACATATTATTTTGCAGCTGAAGGTGAAATTATAATTATCCGGTTGAGCTCGATTAAAGCTCAAGGAACTTAGATTTTAATCATATTATTTTAAATTTGATATTGATTTAGATGAGTTCCATCGAATTTGAAATATTGACAACACCATATGCTTTTTGATGCTTTAGTAATGAATGATTAATTAGCAAACCAAACTCAAAAGAATTCCCTCTTGTTTGAGCATTGAAAAGCTTCATCTCTCTTTTGACCTCACTCCGTATCTGTCAATTTCCATTAGGCAGGAGTATTTACAAATAAATTATTTTGTACATGTGAAATCAAGCTGTGCAAAAACGTGCACGAAAATTCGCACACATGCAGACTTGCCTTGATCATCAGTGATAGGGAATCAAACAATGAAAAATCGGCACTGTATTACCCACCCACTAAATAAATAATCCCCATTATGAGTCGTTAGTGCTCATACATGATCTATTAGGTCGGCTGAAGATTAGACGCTAAACGCGGGTAGTTCATGGTTGACAAGGCGAGGTTGCCTCTCCCCAGGGACAACTAGCACTTCTTTTTTTGTCTGCCGACACATAGATTTTACACTTACTCGTACTTCTACCCTAGACTCCGGAAAAGACATAGATTCGAGGGGTTAATAAAAAATTCAGAGGAATTTGAACCGTCATCGGACCAAACCCACGGACAACTAGCACATGCCTACATCTTTTTCAATTTCATGCAGAGTATGTGTTTTGGGGTTCTTTTATTATGTGTTCTCATCCATACGCAGGATAAAAGGTAGAATTTTGTTGTTTTTAAAATTCAAGAGAGACTCTGAACTTTATAAGGGTTAAGGAGAAGACAAGGGGTTGAGATCACATAAAATGATAATAATTCCGGGTGGAGTTTTAGCGGGTTAGTAATAAATAATATTATTTTTTAGAGTCTCATAGTAATAATACCAAAGTTGATGATTATCACTTGATTACTTACTCCTCCCTTCTTCAAAGACATGTAGAATAGCATAACTCAACGGTTACGTAGTAGCATAACTGATGAAGAGAAGCCGTGGCCGCAATGCCAAAACATGCACCAAACCCAAAAGCAAAATCCTGACATTTTCAGATGTATTTTTTTCGCCCACCCAGTTAAAAAAAAAAAAAAAAAAAGTAGTAGTGCTAACTTATTTTCCTTGAGATGGAGGAGCAGCTCTTGTAATGAATTAAGATCCTTTTGCTCTAATGGGTTGTTCGCTTCTTCAGATACAGACAGCTGTCTGATATTGCCGCAGGCTTTACGACACTTGAGGAGGATAGACCGTATCGTAAAGAGAATTCGGAATGTACTGTGCTACAATACAATATGAGAACGCAACAAGTATTAGTTGCAGTTGCAGTTTTCGCTGACCCCAAATTTAGGAATTATCGTCATACTTCCGTTCATACTAGTAGGAAGATAGACCCTTGACTATGAGCCCTGTGAATTCCCCCCCCTCTCTCACGTTTATATACGTACTTCTATTGTTTGCGACGAGTATCTTTATTTACTCCAGGGCTTAGCCTCTGTCCCCAATCTATTCTCCGACTCTCCGGTCTTGCATGCATGGCTGCAATTAGGGGGCCGTTTATGGCATTGGCATTGGCTCTGGTCTTTGCCGGAGATTTTCATTTTCAGTTTGCACTAGCCTATGATCGACCGCCTGCTCGAAAGTCCCTCTTTGTTGCACCTTCTGAGGATCTTGATTCTACTTCTCCTCAACAGGTAATTATTCTACCCAACCACCCCTGTCCTTGACTTCCCCTTTTTTTTTTTTTTAATTTCTTCTACACCCCCTATATATGTTTCAATTATTATTATTATTAGGGGATTTCCCTGTCTCGAACACCAAGTTTTAATTTGTCGGACTCGGCCTGATTGCCCCATATCTTGAGCCAACATTCCAATAACCGATTGTTTCCTTTGACGAAAATGAGATTGAAGCTCGCCGTTTATTTCGAGGTGCAGTTACAGGAAACCCTTCTTGGGTAGTTGTTAACTTGTAAGAACACTAAATTTTACCCCTGATGGCGAGGAATGGCAATGCTGTAAAATTTTTGAATTGCTGTCAATTCCTACTTCGGCTTGAAATTTTGGACACCTGTTGTCGAAACCTTACATTTGCTTCCAGCGACTTCGATGGGAGTGCGGGAGGCGGTGAAGAGATAAACTCTAATAAATTAATGGATGCCATCCATTCCTTAATTTTAGTGAACTATTCATGCATCTCTGTTCCAAGTTACGTCTTCACCACGGTCTCAATTAGTTCATGCGAATTAGTTCCGACTACCAACCAGGGAAAAGTGTACAAGAAAAATTCAACTAATGCCACTTGCTATCTTGACCCCTCGAACCTCTGGATAGAGATAACCTCAGTGTTGCTTTTTTACTTTATTTGAGCTTTGCTGGAAAAATTCAAGAACCTCACTTTTGCCAGTTCGAGTGCTTCATGGAGCCTGTTTCTTATCTGTTTTGCCCCTTACCATAGCATTGAACCGGAATTTTTCAAATTTGAAAGAAAAGTCATGAATCGGATTGATTGAATTACTGACAGCACTCTAATTCGCTCCTGAAATTGTTTGCAATTGTTTCATTTATTGGTCAATTTTGAAGCCGGTGTCTGACAAGGCCAGTGTCATTCTACAATTCTAGGTGCATATATCTCTTGTTGGACAAGATAAGATTAGGATATCATGGATTACCAATGACCCTAGTCCATCTACTGTTGAATATGGTACGTCTTCAGGATCTTATGGCTTTTCGGCCAACGGAAGCACCAGCTCATACACCTATGTGACATATGATTCCGGAGAAATACATGATGTTGTCATCGGTCCTTTGAAGCCGAACACAGAATACTACTACCGCTGTGGATCTGACTCAAGCCCTGAATTCAATTTGAAAACTCCGCCGGCACAGTTTCCTATCAAATTTGCTGTCGCAGGTAGACGAAGCTTGCAACATGGCATCCTCAATTTGAGATAGTAACTACTCTGGTTTGCTTTGGTTCGAGGCATTAATATGTCACGCTTATTTGTCCTTGCGATATCTCATGCTGCAGGTGATCTAGGACAGACAGATTGGACCAGTTCAACTCTTGAGCACATTGGGAAATCAAATTATGATATGTTACTATTGCCTGGGGATTTGTCATATGCTGATACAGACCAACCATCATGGGACTCTTTTGGGAGATTGGTAGAGCCCCTAGCAAGCAAGCGGCCTTGGATGGTAACACAAGGAAACCATGAGATTGAGAAAATCCCCATACTACACAGCCAGCCCTTCACGGCCTACAATGCAAGATGGGATATGCCATACGAGCAGAGCGGCTCTGATTCCAACTTATACTACTCCTTTGAAGTCGCAGGTGTTCATGTGATTATGTTGGGTTCATATACTGAGTTTGATCCGAGCTCAGCGCAGTACAAGTGGCTTCAGACAGACTTGAAGAAGGTCGACAGAAGTAGGACGCCTTGGCTGGTTGTTCTTATACATGCACCTTGGTATAATTCAAATAAAGCTCATCAGGGGGAAGCTGAATCTGTAAATATGAAGGCGGCCATGGAAGGCTTGCTTTATCAAGCTCGAGTCGATGTGGTATTTGCAGGGCATGTTCATGCATACGAAAGATTTGTAAGTTTAAATCCCGTCCCTCATATTTCCCATGCCATATCAGCGCAAAAATTTCATCAATTCGTTAAGAGTTCAAGTTCCGTCAGTTGATAGATAGATATCTTATATGTTGATTTTAATGGGCATTGCATCTACTATGATAAATTATGGAAAAAGAGTCCACATGCATTAATACACTAACGTAACATAACCC